CTTCTCAAAGCACCAGGATCTATTCTGCCCTCTATAAACACTACACTTAGTAGGATAGCCTCATTTCTGTTCTTACCAATCCTAAGGTCAACATATGTCTGACTGGGTCCATATGAATCATTTGAGACCAGTGCAAAATGAAAACACAAGGCCCCTTGTTAAACATTTATTGCTAATACAAGCAGGTGACAACAAACTTTAAACCAAGCATGGGGCCCTTCCAAGAAGGGAGCCTGTGGGACTATACAGGTCACACACTCACGCGCACCCTGCATCTGAGGGGTGCGCATCTGATGCTTGAGGGGAAAGCACAGAGAAGCCTTTATCCTCCTTACAGAAACAGACACAGTCTGCACAAAGGTTGCTTTAGAGGTTGCCCAGGAGGGTTTGTGGGGACTTCGATGTACAGCCACTGGGATTACAGGTATGTGCCACTGTGCTTGGCAAGAACAAATTTTTAAGAAAAGAATAATTGTAACAACTATCATTTATTAAGACTTTACTCCTGGGCTGATTATTTAACACATATTACATCATTTTATTTTTAGATAATTTTGTGAGGGGTTTTCTTCTAATTTATTTTAGGGTTAAGGAAATGGAGGATGAGAGAGGTGATGTGCCTTGCTTCAGACTACATGGCTGCTAGCAGAAGACCTGGCATAAATATGGTCTGATCTGGCCTCAGGCCTGCACACTAAAGAAACACACTAGACAGTCCCACTTTATGACATGTCTACCCTCTATGAAAACTACTGTCCAATTTTATTCTATTATGCATTTAGCTAAATAATTAGAAGTATCAACATCTCTTCTCCTCTGCCTATTAGTTTCCTAAACCTACATTGAGAAATACTCCTAAATCCCAGAGAGTTGCAAGGAGAGCTGACACACACACATTGATCCCTGCCTGCTTTCCCTGCCCCAAACTCAAGAAGAATTGCAAAAGTTCTACTCCTTTCATAATTGCAAGAGCTCTACTCCTTTCATACTTGATATAAGAGGATAAGCACAAATCCTCCCAATGCATATTTACTTACAAGCTGCTCATTTCTTTACCAAAAGGTTTGCAGACACTCATAACAAAAGTCTTAAACAAACCAAGAGCTGGAATTTTAGAAAGAGGAAGCAAACACACAGGCCACAGGTGTTGAGTCGTGGCTGTGACCAAGATTCATGCAACCTGTAGGTTCCAGTCTTTGTGAAAGGTCCCAACATAAGGCACTGCACAGGTCTTTATCAGTGATTTAAATAAAATTATATTAAATTTCCAAAAACTCTTAGGCCCCAAACTATACTATTAGAAAAATCACAGTCACAAAGTTGGTCATGAAATGACAGGTTGTATATAGGAATAAAAAATGATCTTAAAAAAGACAAGTACCATTATTAGATAATGCACAGCACAGTAGAGTTTGGGTTATGCTTTTCTAATATCCATGCAACTGGTGGCTGATGGCAGAAAAATGTAACCAGCCCCTGGAACTAAAGCCTTTTTTTTTGCTTTTCCTCTCACACCACCAGCATAACATACAACCACATTCCAGTTGCACAGGGAATAAAATGCCAAAACTCTTCAGATGCAGATAATACTGTGTAAAAGTATACTTTCTTAGCTTTCTCCCCTCAGACTTATAAACATTTTCACTGTCATCAATCAATGTATTTAATGCTAAAAGTTTCTGCTTTGATGGGATTTTAAACAGCAAATCAAATCAAATCAGAGTCCTTACTTAACAACAGTCATGTTCTGAGAATCGCAAGTGATTTTGTTAACACATGAGGATCACGGAGAACACGTACACTAACCTAGATGGTGTTGCCTGCTACACACCTAGGGTATATGGTGGAGCCTTCCACTCTTAGGTGACAAACCTGTGCCACCACCTGTTATTATAATGAACACTGCAGGGACTTCTAACAACAGTATTTGTGTATCCAAGCATATCTAAATGTACAAAAGAAACAGAAAAGTACTAGGCCAAAGGAATTTTTCATCTCCATTATAATCCCACAGGACTACCATGGTGTAGGAGACGTCCCTATGTAGCACATGACTAGTTTAACCATGGATCTGTTGCTGCAGCACAGGAACAGGAGACCAGTGGAGCTGCCCCTCAATACAATAGTGGCCAATTCCATGCCAAGGGAAGGCTGATCCCCTGCTCTCCCCATTTCCCACCAGTATGTCCCTGATCTAGAACTCTGACCATGAATGCCCCTGGGGAAAGGAAAGAAAATTAAGACTGGAAGAGAGGAAGGGGCAGCCTTGGGCCCCAAGCAGAAAAGAAACAGAAAACATCCGCAGGCGCAGCAGAGACCACTTGTTGGCCAACGTTTACTGTCGCAGCCCTGGTGCCCCATGGTGCTGGAGCCACAGAAGCAGGGCAGCTCTGGATCTGAGAGAAGTAAGGCTTGGTGTGCTATCTTAAAAATAGCACCTGGCCTCTCTTTTTGGATAATTATAAGATGAAACTGAGGGGTTTTCAGGTTTTGAGAGATCTTTGACAAAACATAGGTGCTATTCAAATATAAGAATCACTGAAAGCCACTCCAGTGGCCCATTTTCAAGGGAAGGAATGGCTGCTGAGAAAGGGCCAGGACTACTTGCCTGGTGCTCTTTTGACTGTTCCTTCAGTCTTTTGTGAATCTCAACTATTATTTCTAGCAGCCCAAGTAGCCCCCATCCCCACCTGGCAGTCAGACCCAGAGTGACATTGAGTGATCAGAGGAAGTTCATTTCTCCAGCTCCCTGACACTTGAAGGCTAAGATTTGCAGACAAAGAGCCTCAGAGATCTCACTGTATTTACTGCTAGGCTTCAATTAAATAAGGCCCCAGTCAAAGGCCTGCTGCCATTTTTCCTGTTTAAAGTCAGTTCTGGCGTGGTGGTGTATCCCTGTAATTCCAGTGACTTAGGAGGCAGAGGCAGGAGGATTGCAAGTTTGAGACCAGCCTCAGCAATGTAATGGTACCTGTCTCAAAAAAGTGTGTGTGTGTGGGGGGGTTGCTGGGGAGGTGGCTCAGTAGTTGAACAATTGACCCTGGGTTCAATCCTTGGGTTGGTACCAGAATAATAATAATGACACTAATGCTAGTTCTGTATGGTGGCTCCCCATCCCAAGAGTAGGCTTGCCTGCCCACCAATCTAAGGTCTAAGGGTACAATCCTATCAAAATGAACTCCAAATAGATTCTATTTTCTCAAATGAGAAGTCTGTACACCTTAGAAGCTGGAGGGCCTATCTCCAGCTAGGTTTTATTTTTCTAGGACTGAGAAACTGTATCTAAACCCTATATCTCCTTTCTAAACGAACCGTTAAGCTTCCCACAGCCACAGTTTAGTGCAGGTCAAGGGCTTTCTGCATATAGCAGTGCTGATGTTGAGCAATGCAAGGTTTAATTTCTTAGGGCTGAAATTGTGCAAGACTGTACACTTGCTCTTTATGGAGTAAAAAGAAAAAAACTAGTTAGGAGCTAAAGTGAATGAGTCCAACAAATGTTACTGATCTTCATTCAAAACTTGCATTTTATTTCTCTGAGAGAAGCTGACTTGGCAGGAATTATCTGGCAATTTAGATAATAACTGAATGTTATTAAATGGAAGTATGTTTTGCAGAAAAGATAGATCCGTGTACAACTACAGAGCTTCTATTTTACATGGATGATGTAAATTCCTTCTATATGACCTGGATGTCTGTCCCCTTGTTAGGGAGATAAATATAAGGGAACAATTGCTCTGATGAGTTGATGAGGCCTATGTAGCCCCACACACCAGGAGAGACTCACATTGCTGTTGTGTTCTCGAAAGAGGAAAAAAGAGCTAAGCTCTAAACCTGACATAAGTGTGCATGGGTCCTCCAAAACTTAGTTGGTTATTACCCAATAGTCCCAAATCATACCTTTAACACTTTGGAGAATATTTGGAAACTAGTGTTTCTAGGCAGATATACAGGAAAGGCTAATGCTTCCTAAAACCAGTTAGCTCATAGGAACATTACTGATGTTTATTATTAACAATTGCTTAGGGTCACTTTTATTATCATTTTGAAAACTTCACAAGTAAAACACAATTCACAGTAGCTCTGTAGTTGTACACGGATCTATCTTTTCTGCAAAAAAGATTGGGCTTTACCCCCAGGATAGTAGCAGCAGATGGTGGGCAGCTCTGAACATGGTCTGAGGGTCACAGCATAGAGTTGCCTAGGTGGCTTGTCACAAAACAGGTTCCCACAGCTCCAGACCAGCAACCAGAATCTTAGCTTGGAATCTACTTTTTTAACAAATTCCTCAATGATCCTTCGTACAAAGCCAAGTGTGAGATCAGCTCCAAGGAAACAAGGCTTCTCTGCTCTCTCCACAGCCTGTGAAAGCCCAACCCTCAAGGAAGAAGGTCTGATAGGAATCAAGGCAAGCACTCAATAAATACTCGGTGAAGTACAAAATGTACTGTGTAAGGATATTATCTCTTCCTCAAGCTGCCAGGGAGCTTCAAGCCACATTTGAACTCAATTATGGAAATTTTGTATGGCTTCCTGGCTTGTATTTTTAAGCTCTTTCCCCCCCTCTCATTCAAATTTGTATTTTTGTATTCTCCCTGGTTCTAATTTTTACCTTTTATTTATTTGTTGCCATTATTTCATTTTATGGTTTCATAAGCACTCTCAAATCCTGTGACATAAAACAGGGTATAAATAATAAAGACACTTTAGAACAGACATAAATCAAGGTGGCCATTACTATGTTCTTTTTAAATATTTTTTTAGTTGTTGATAGACCTTTATTTTATTAATTTAGACATGATGCTGAGACCTGAACCCAGTGCCTCACACATGCCAGGCAAGTGCACTACCACTGAGCCACAGCCACAGCCACAGCCCCGTTACTATGTTCTTGACATGTTCCTTGTTACTCGAAGGTCCCCCACTGAGACTGGACCGCATTCCTCTGTCCCACCTTTCAGCCAGGAATATTTTTCCAGAGATTTTTTAAAAAGCAGACTTACTTGTGTCCTTGGAGCTCAATGGCTGTTCCTTTTCTCCCGCCGATGTCCCACATGATGACAGAGTGATCTGAACTGCCCGAGAATAACACCCGCTGGACTGGGTCCCAACAGAGAGCGGTCACCCCACCTGGGAGGACACACACAGATGGTATTACTCACAACATAATAATGTTACTCATCAACAAAATGGGAAGGCAAAAGAGTTAGGACGAAGTGCAGTTCCCAGCATCTAATAAATGTCTGTTCAAAAAACAAATGAGTAGATCCCAAAAGAGAAAAATTGGCTCCACGAGTACAAATTCTACTCTTCCAGCCCCCCCACTTCAAAACTTAATGTACCATAAAATCAATTACTATAAAGACCAAAGGGAAATGAAAAAAAGACAATTAATTGACCTTCAAAAACTAGACATAATTCTGAGAAGAATGGAAAATGTTGCACTATTTGGAAATATTAACCATATTTTCTTAACTGCTGCCTGCCTCCTACCCTGACAATAACAGATGAGAAGTAAATGGAGTTTAAAAATGCTCAATTAGATTTTTTAATTCTTTTTTGTTAACATACAAAACTCTACATATTTATGGGGTGCAATGTGATGCTTCGATACAAGTATACATGGTGTAATGATCAAATCAGGGTTGTTAGCATACTCATCTCCCCAAACATTTATCATTTCTTTGTGGTGGGAACGTTCAAAATCCTCTGTTCTAGCTGTATTGAGATAAACGCTACTATGCTGTTAACCACATTTCCCCTACAGTGCAACAGAACAACAGAACTGATTCTTCCTTTCTACTTGCAACTCTGTACCCTTTGACCAACCTCTCCCACTCTTTCCTCCTACCCACCCCAGTCTCTGCTGGCCATTGTTCTTTTTCTTGTGGATGAGGTACTGAAGATTGAATCCAGAAGCATTCAACCTCTGACTACATCACCAGTCCTTTTAAAAAAATTTGAATCAGGATCTTACCAACTGGCCTGGAACTTGGGATTTTCCTGCCTTAGCTACCTGAGTCACTGGGATTACAGGCATGGACCACCACACTGGTATGTGGCTGCTGTTTTATTCACTACTTCTATGAGATCAACTTTTTTAGATTCCACATGAGTGAAATTGTGGTACTTCTTTCAGTGTTTTGCTTATTTCACTTAACTTAATGTCCTTTGGGTCATCCACGTTGTGGACAAATTTCATCTCTTTTTTTGGGAGAAGAGTATTCCATTGTGTATATGTACCACATTTTCTATATGATGAATACTTAGATGGTTTCCATTTCTTAGCTTAGATGGCTTCCATTTCTGTGAACAGTGTTGTAATAAACATGGGAATGCAGGTATCTCTTCAACTTACTGTCTTAATTTCCTTTGAATACATACCAGTAACTAAACTGCTAGACCATGATGGTGGTTCTACTTTTAATTTTTTAAGGTACCTTTATCCTGTTTTCCAAAATGGCTGTGCTAATTTATACTCCTACCAACAGTGTGCAAAGGTCCCCTTTTCTCCACATCCTTGGGGACATTTGTTATTTTTGTCTTTTGGGTAACAGCCATTCTAACTGGAGTGAGGTGACATCTCATTGTGGTCTGCATTTCCCTGATGATCAGTGATATTGATTGTATATCTTCTTTTGAGAAATACCTATTATAGCTATTTAATCTTGAACATCAGATATAATAAGGCCACAATATCAAATCTTAAAATTACTTTTTCTTTTTGGGATTTGAATTTATAAATTCCTTGAAAATCACTTATATTATTTAGTGTCAATATCCTCAACTGTAAAATGGGGATAATGGTAATAAGACCACCTCAACTACTCCTACTAATGATAATATCCTATTACCCACTTTGTAGGACTGTGGCAATAATCAGATAAATTACACAGGCCCACTCTGTAAATTGTAGTATGCTATACGGATGTTAGTTATGAGAATTATTCTGGTGGTGCAGCTACAAAATTCTATGACATATTTTCTTCTTTGGTAGTCCCCTTATAAAACTCCTTGTGTACTGAGAGCAGTAATAAGTTTTTCCATATAAAATGCTCACAGGGCCTATAAATACTTATGAATGTCAGAAATAATTATTGTTTTAATGTTATTGAAAAATAATATATTCTGAGGATGCAAAATAGTTTCTTACTGATATTTTAAAAGTTTAGATTATCAAGTTGTTCTACTTTAAGTGCATGTTAGGAAGTTTCTCTCATAATTGTCTCAGATTTTTTTTTTTAAAAAGACCAAAAGGAAAAACCCCACTATTCTGAATTATGCTTACTAGCTTCCTCCTATACCTGCACACCATTCTGCTTGCAAACACTCCTGATCCTGGAAGAATAACATCACTGCCCCTCGGGCATATGTGGTTAACCACCCCCTATAGCTCCCAGCCCACACCCTCTTCCACCATCATCCACCCAATAATGGTAGTCAGCACAGTACTGGTGCAGACAGGCTCTGGCACTGACTATTGAATGAATAAAGAAGCAGATGAATGAAAAAAACAACAACTTTTCTTTCACTTCACGCAAGTCCTTGCCTAAATGCCTGCTCTCTAGAGACACCCTCCTTCACCTCACCACTCTTCTCCTTATTGTTTTTATTTTCCCTCAAATTGGTTGGTTGATTGTCTTTTAAGAAATACCTATTATAGACTATTTAATCTTAAACATCAGACTTAATTAGGCCACAATATCAGAGCTTAACAATATAAGCTGTGGCTTGTTCACCAGAGAACACTCAGTTCCTAGAACTCTGCTTGGCTCACACAGGTATTCAATAAGCCTGCACAGATGCTCAAATGACTGACTGAAGGAGGAAGCATGTGAAGAAACGCTCTTGGCCTTGTTCTCAACAGATGAAACATGCATATGACAGATGTTTCCTGGCTGACCAGCTTTGTTGACATGATGCCTTTGTCTGTTCTATCTTTAGGTGAGAGGTTCTCAAGGAGGATCTCTGAGATAGTCTTGCTCAACCAGTGGCGCCACTATAACTAGGGGGACAGATAAGAGAAAGGTGAGAAATACACGATTTCCCCTATAAGACATGTAAAATGGGTAGCCCTGTTTTATTTATTTATTTATATTTTTATGCAGTGCTAAGTATCGAACCCAGTGCCTCACATTTGCTAGGCAATGCTCTACCACTGAGCTACAACCCCAGCCCTAGCCCTGTTTTTTTAAAAGCACCACCTTAAGTTTTTGTTTTTTGTTTGTTTATTTTGGAGTTTTTTTTGGTACCAGGGATTGAACTCAGAGGCCTTGAACCTGAGCCACATTCCCAGCCTTTTTTGATATTTTATTTAGAGAGAGGCCCTGAGTTGCTAAATTACTGAGTCTGGCTTTGAATTCTCAATCCTCCTGCCTCAGCTTCCTGAGCTGCTGCGATTACAGGCTAATGCCACCACGCCTGGTTAGAGTTAAATAAAGGCGAGCACTGGTAGGAACAATGTCTAGAAAGGCTTAATTAACTCATTTAAAGACTTCATTGGAGGTGTTCTTCACCAAATCAGAATCAATATGGAAATACCTCAATAAGGTTTACAGTGTGCCAGGAGATACATACTTCTACCCTGCACTCCTGCCAATCAATCCACCTACACATCTACAAATGCTGCATCAGGACACAGGCTCTCTGGCTTTCTTTGCTGGTTACTATGAAATGAAGATGGTTATGGTGAAAGTTTAGCTATGGTATTATAAGTGCACAGGCTCTGGGACCATATTCTAAGTTTGAATCCCAGCTGTATCTTTAGAAGGTATGTGGCCTTGGGCAAGTTTTTAATGTCACTGTGCCCTAGAAATCCCATCTGTAAAACAGGGATGATAACAGTACCTAACTCAGTTTTGTGACTAAATGGGTTGCTAAAATAAGTCCTTAACTTGGTGCCCAGTGATGGGAAGCACTCAATAAATGTCAGCTACGGTTACAGGGCAGAAGACCTCACCTATACAATCCCCATGATGGTGTGCTTTGTTGAGTTAGTCTTAGTGACAAGCTTGTCTTCATGCTATCCCAGCCATCATGAGATCAACTGAAGTTTTAGAAATTGGACCAATGTCTAATTTTACCCATTACACCCCACTGAAAGGGAGCTCTGGGAAGGGGAATTCTTAGTAACACAGGCTGTTAGGAAGAGAAAAATTGATAATGTAGTTAACACATAGCAGGGTATATTCATCAGATTCTCAAAGAACTCATAAAAAAAGGATAAGAGAGAGAAGGGAAGCAAATAACTCTGTGGTCCCAGGCCAGTTCTAAGTGCATGTCCTAACAATAAGGCCTGCTGAAAGCTGGCTTACAAACTGTAAACCACAGCATCCATTTCAAATCAGATCAACAAGCATGCACCAAACACCGTCTGCATCGGCTATCTGAAGACATGGACCCTCTACCATCACAAATGTACAAGAGAAGACAATAGAATTATTTTAGAGAACAAGAAGAGCACACAATTTGCATGGCGGAGCCATTCTCTCTAGGACATGAGGCTACTCTCTCTGCCTGTCCTATCCTTTATCACCTAAGTAATCTTTTCTCCCTCTTCAAGTTCAGATGCCCTCTCCTCCAGGAAACCTTCCTCAACACCCTCAATTCAGGTGAGGCTCCAGCCTCTGTGCATGTCTCTGTCATTACACTGACCCCACTACACTCAACTTGTTGGATTATAAATCTGTGCGCAAGGTCGACTCGGTAGACTCTGGGTTCTGTATCTTTGTATCTGAGCACAGCTTATGGTGCCTGGTATACAAGAAGTGAACAATAAATGCTTACTCTTCTGGCCCACTCTACTGGATGGCAGAGAGGAATGGGGGAATAATAAATGAGAGCCTTGGGGGTGAGGCTGATGGCAAGGCTGTGCAGTGAGTCCTGGAGGCACAGAGAAAAGCAGGAGGGACAGCAGCTGATGGAAACAGCTTCATCCTTCTGTGGAACTTTCTCTGTATCTCTCTGTAGATGGGGCTTCCTGATACATAGTTGTTCTTTCTCCTCAACACATGGGCAGTTGGGGAAAGCCAATCACTTGCAGGGAACTCATGTTGCAAGGAGCTAGGTCCCGTGGACTTCATGCCCCAGCCAGCAACAAGGGCAGGGCCAAGGGGTACTGTGGTTGTGGT